GAGATACACGATTTCAAAATTTTGGAAATGCGCCAAGAGGGGAAATCGATCATTTTAAAAGATATCAAAATGGGGTCAACGGCATTCAAAAGAGAGTCGTTTGTATCCGTTTGGTCCAATTTAAATCCAATTTAAATTTTAAATTTGGGAGGATTATTAATATTTCAGATTGATTGCGTTAAAAGTCCGACAATCATATCGGCACGCAATTATTATTTCTGAAATTAATTCATTTATATGAATATATATAATAGTTCAACATCTTAACTCATTCAGACCGTAGTGGCGCTTCGCATTTAAAGTTAAATTTCATTTAGTTATCTCCAATGCAATATACATTACACTATCTCGATATATAATATGTATATGTATAAAGTGTCGTCATAAACATGGAACCAAATTGCTTGCTTGTATCTTTGAAAAGCAAATAATTTCGGGACCTTATTGCTATACACATATATGCGCGTGCATTCTTTTTCCGCGTAAAACGGCTCTATCATTCGGCATTGTAACTTCGTTCAAGTCCGTGACTAGTCGGGACGTCGCTAATGACAGAGTCGCTGACTCACGAGATTGCACGAAATATATCATATACGTGATATATGGAATATAGTTTCTCTGATAAGGACACACTTTCTGTAACAATAATCTCGAGACGTACCGTAAAAATTAGCCAATCACAGCCTAGAATTGTCAAAAACTTTCTTCTCTAATTGATTGATTCTTGTGGTACATCTTACTGTCACAAAAATTTTGTTTGCGGCAAATTTTGTCTGTCCTATTGTCTGTTCTACAATAGAATCGCAAGTAAGTCGTAAAAAATTGGCCAACCACAGTTGAATATGAAAAAAATAATCGATTATGATTGGCTGCGTTCAGCAGAGGCAGCAGCTATCCAACTGTTATAAAATTCTTCAACATAATTGATTTATACTTTATATTTAGATCCATAAGGAATTAAAAGCAAAGATCAATTGAAGAATGTCTTACGACCCCAGTCGCAAAGCTGTTTTCTCTATTGAACGCAGCTATTGATTAATTTCTTACGGCTTATGGTTTGCGATCCTATTGTAGAATAGTAATAAAAGCACAATCGTCATTATGGAAGAACATAATGAAAAACATCGAGATCATGGAACTGTTTAGGACGACTTTTATCTTCAAGGCTACATTCTTTCCGAGTAATATCTTTGAGAATTACTCGAATTCGTTTTAAGACACGTGCCAAAATTCGCAGGCTTAAAAATTCGGCGATTTGATTTAATTTTGCAACATTCGGCAAAAGTGAGCTCCATAACAATTAATAATCCTGAAAGTAAGTATTGCAAATTTCGCAGCTTCTTAAACCGGATGAATATTATTAATATTCTTACGTAAATCAAGTTGAGGAAAAAATTGAATCATTTATACTACGAGTATTTATAGATTTTACTTTCAACGAAAGATATTCTCTCCGTTTATTTTTTCATTCTTGCATTCGTAAAATTTTTATAATGATAAATAACTATTGATATTGAATATTAATCTTATACATTGATAATTCTAACACATATATATATTAATATAATATAATAATAAAAAATATAATATTATAATTAAAAAAATTAACATATATATTCTCTATTGATCGAAGTGACGTTGATCGGATGTATTGATGAATAGTTGCATATCGCATATGATATTTTTGTCATCTTTAATCATATAATTGTTTTTATATTAATTAAGTGTAATATTTATATGAGGTTTCTATTATTTCTCGATCAATTCTACACCGAATACACAGTATATGCGTATATACAGAGTATTTCAAAATTCGCATTTGTATTGTGACTTCGGAATTTGCATTAATCATATATCAACTTGACTGAAAAATAGTAGAAACATTATAGAAACATTATAGAAATATTCACAATTGCTAAATTACAACATAGAAACAATTACGAAGTCGAAAGACATCAATCAGTATTCAACATTGATCATTTATGACTCAATTAATCATTTTTCTTTCTCTCTCTCTCTCTCTCTCTCTCTCTCTCTCTCTCTCTCTCGCTGATATATTATAATATATTAATATAATGTGTTTTTTGAACAATAATAATTATGAAAAATAAGATTCCGAATAAATAAATCATAAATTCAAAAAACTTATGCAAGCCGACAATAATCGCGTATAAAATTATTAATGAAATAAAGTATAAGTAATAAGATAAAGATATAAGACACTTGAATCTTTAGGTTCTTTTCCGTTAACTTTTCACTGATAAATTAACAAAATTATAATAATTATTCCGCTTACTTAAATTTACAATAAGGCTAGTAGAATTGTTAAAATGAATACATATGGAATGTTGTATAACACGGAAAACATTGTAAATCTAATGTCCAGACATAACGTCAAAAGTCTTCAGCATATTTCGGAAAAATATATAAATCATGAATCGAATATTAAACTGAGATATGAATTTCGCTATGAAACTATCATAGTCAAATATAAAATTAATTAAAAACTTACATTGTTTATAAATAAAATAACAATAAAATGACAAAGTAGAACGCAGAATAGAATGAAGAGTAAGAGATCGTGTTAAGAGATAAATATATTTGTAGATACAAATTAATAAATATAACATGGAAACATCAAGACTTTATAAAAGGTCATAATATACAAATCCAAACGATTAATCTATCGTCTTGCAAATTTAAAGCGTGCTTTTACTCTTAAATATGTATCATCTTGAAAATTAATTTTTTATTTCATGCTTTTTTGTGATTTATTAATATTAAATATATATTATTATTAAATATAATTTGCACAAAACGTCTGGACGTCTGTCTATATATATTACACAGAAAATGCTCGTTATTAACGCTAG